CTAGTATTTTATTTGGTGAATTTGCTGTATCTGAACATCTTTATTGCTTAAAGTCAAAATATTCTTGGTTGATACCAATTAGTAAATGATGTGGTGACAATTTTAAAATCACAGAAAAATATCGAAACCACACCAAGATATATTTTGATCATCTATCTGATTTTTTAGAGTAACTTTATCCAATAATTAGTTAACATAGTTTGGAAAAATACAATTTATAAAACTCAGAACTGTTTGGACTTAATACAGATCCGAAAACTCTGTGATAAAACCAATTTCTAAGTTAACTCTTTGAAAGAACTAACCAAATTTACAAAAACCCCTCAATTTACACATTTGCTGTAGAGTGAAATTATTTATACCCACCATCAAATATTTATCTTAATCGTACGTTAACAAAGAACTTATTATTACTGTTTCATCTTCTCTTTAGATGTCAGTTATTTCGGACCGACAGAAAACCCAATAAATACTTCACTAGTGACAACCGAGACGTTATATTAAATGTCACTCAATTTGGGTTTTATTTTTCCTTTCACAATATAGTAGCTTGATATTGTGTTCTTTATTAATTCAAGTACAGCTGGTCAGGTTTTTAAATTGCAGTTGAACTATAACTAAATGCAGCACATAACATTGCTTATTTTGTTTTACGACTAGTTCTATATTGTAAATTAAATTTTGTATACATTTTCATGCAAATTACATTACGTCATCACAACTTTTATACAGTATAAGGTTTCAACAAGTGTATCAGCTAAAAATATACAACATTGGCCAGTATCTTAAACTTATAAATCAAGTTTTAAAGTTGTATAAGGAGAATTGTATTGTAAAATATTTGTCTGAATCCTCTTAAACCTGTATATACGATTTTCAGACATGTCCATAGTATAATAACACATGTATTCATAACAAGCTAAACCTGAACCTTTGAATTTATATCAAGGTTTAAAACATTTAACAAATTCTTTCACAGGAAGAAAATGTTCGGAGAGTTTTTTTCCTTTAGTGACATTGTGTATACAAACTCCACCACTAACGGGACCCAAACCCAGCTTAAAGACAGATTACGCAAATGTCCAATAGAACTTCCATCGTGTCAGAAGTTTCGGAGAAGGAACTTTTAAGTTCCATCCTATGTCGGTGGTAACCGCAACATCGTCTGTTTTAGTACAATGAAAAACTAGTAAATATTCCTAACATTAGGTACTATCTTGTACTATATATGTTACTGTAGTATGTAAAAATAATCCGGTTGTGAATATACAGATGTAGAACAATACTAACCTCTAATAACTGCATCTTGTGTTTATTTTTTGTGAATACCAAAAAGAAAAGATAGCAGTAGCTTAAACTAGCATATATTGTAATATGATATTTGGTTATAAAAAAGGATGATGGGTTTCAGATTAATACGTAAATATGTTTTAATGTTTTCTCTAGATTTATAAACAAAAGAATTTATAGAGGTTTACTATAAGAAATGACTTTGAGGTCTAAGTTTGCCTCAATAAAGAAGGATTATAATTTAATTTCAAAACTTGGGAATTTATTTTTGAAATACGTTTATAATTCTTGACAATGCTTATCCGTTATTCTGACATTTCTATTTTAAAATATATGAATAAGCAAGCTATTACAGTATATTATTTCATACTAGCGCTATATGAATGAAAATAATAGTAACTATATTTCATCACTAGGGGTGACTCTTTTTGTTAATGGTTAGTAATTAATGTTTTAAGCATTATAAGACGATTCTTTTATTTACTTTCAGCAACATACTAACAACCGAAATGTATACAAAACGCTCTACAATAGTACTCACGCATAAGAAGCAGTGGGAAAAAGGTTTACTGTTACCCCACCTTTACAATTATTCTTCTTTTGACACCAACTTTGCAATAAATAATGATAATTTGCAATAATTAATATTTATATTTATAATTTATATTTGAATAATTTGCAATATTGTAATGATCCTAATGAATTTTACATTCAGTAAGTGTATTATAATACTAGTTCCATTTCATTGTTGGGTTTGGATATGACGAATTGAGAGCTAATATCAAGTAAGCTTGGCTGAAGGGACTTGAAATAAAAGGTTATGGCACTTCGGTTGAATTGTATTGTACAAAATTCAATACAACTGGGATAACTAGAGAATATGTGGCTTAAGTACTGCATAATGCAATTGAAAACCTTTTTATCCGGTATTGTGAACTGAGTATTACCAACTACTGAGCTTAGATCACACTCGATTCGACCGGTAGCATGGCATTTACAACAGCTTATATGGGGTTTTGTGGTACACATATCAAATAATATTCAATGGACGTTTAAAGTAAATTTCAGAGAAAAAGAGTATAATTAAATTAGAATTAACTATAATAACAATACGTATTTCAACTAATAAAACTTAATTAAATACTGTAGTAGCAAGGAAAAGTTATTTCTCTTTAATTAGTTTCACATTTATAAAATAATTAATCCTTTGTTTTACTGTGAAACAATTAAGTTATATGCGTCTAAGTAATAGAATTAGCAGCAGTATAGGGAAACGGCGTAATATTAGCGGTTGTTGAAATGCAACCCCTATGCTGTATTGGTATCATCCGTTAACGCTTAATTACTTAGATATGACAAATTAGTGACATGTGTCGGGTAGTTCTCGTTTAAGATTTATCGCAATGATTACGTATCTTGATTTGAAATTTCAGATGGATGGACCGTCAATTTGTGTTTAATTATTATATTTGTAATGTGGGCTGTTTAATTTGTTGCTTGTTTCAAAACCAGTGTTATTTTGAATTGCATAGGGATCGATAGGGTATGTTAAGAAGGAAAGAAAAAGGTAGGAGCAATTATTATTATATATCTCTAAGCAACTATAGGTTGAAGATATATAAGCCTGTCAGTTGAATTGTTGTGAAAATTAGTCTTACTTGGTCCAAGGAAAAGTATAAAACATGTTTATTCAAATATAATTAGAGTAAATTAACTGTTATAGTAATTTGTGGTTTTTAGATTACAAAATACATGAGCTCTAAATCAGTTAGACTTGGTGAATGGTAGAGTGTTTTATTAGCTCCCTACTCAAACAGCTTACTTCAAATAATGAGGTATAAGTAGTAATGGCTAACTTTAATATTTAAAACATCTTTTTTATTAGGTACCATACCCAATGTATATTTATTATTGTACTATGCAAATTAATATTATTGAAGAACTAAAGCTCTTGAAAACTCAAGTAAATGTCGAAACTGTTGTGGTTAATTTTCAATATTCCATACGAATGAGATATAAATAGGCCTGAGCCGGTGCTTGCTTCGTTTAGTAAAAATCGGATTGCATGAGTAGCATTGCAAGAGTAACATTCTAATTTTGTAAATATACAAATTTTTTAAAATTGGATCCATAACCTTTAATTGTACAACAGTTCAAAATTTTTAAAAAATATCGTTTTTTAGCTCTACACGACTTTTATGAAAAATAATATAAAAAGGCTTTAAATGTAAGGGTTTTAAGGGTACACATAAAAAAATGAAAATGTTTAACCACAATAATACCCCGTAAAAATAACTGATACCGTTTCATACTTTTAGCTTTGAAAAAATCAAGACTCATACTTGATCCTACTTATTTCTTTGTCTTTATTTATTATTTGTGTGATAATACCGTTATAATTGTTTTGTAAGGGCATGTTCCAAACCCTGGCGTTTTACTACATACTAGGGAGACAATGATAGAAGGATCTGATTGCCCCTGCCTAAGCTTGGGATTGGACATGAACCCTTTAAATTTGAATTTTCAGATCCGATGATTGGCAAATCAAAAGGTAAGAGATTCCACCCTCATAAGAATTCATTTTAACACATGTGTAACTTCAGACATTTTAAACGTTTCAAGTCTGAACATAATACGGGACGAGCTACGTTTCATTGCCATGGCGAAGCAGTTTGGTCGTCACAACAGAGTTTTCAAAGTACTTGGATAACGTGTCTCATTACATTAGTGTAATGTATAATGAACTGTTTACATAAGGAAGCTTCATCGCCACTCAGGATAGACAAATATATTGATTCCGTGGAAGAGCGAACAGTATTGTTTTGCCGTGATGGAAATTCATTCTATACGTTTATCTGTTAAGATAGTTAAATCATGGATAATGTTTTATAACATTGGGTTTAATATTTTCTTAAATTGAATCCGGTAACTTTAATACTATATTTGACTGAGATAGGATTAACAATATTCTATTGTCAACCCAAAACTTTAACTATTATAAACTTTTTTCAGTTTTTAATATTGAACTAATATAATTTTATTAAGAGTACGTATGTGTGGGTAAAACTAAGTTTCTAAATGATAAAAAATCAAACCAGACTTTATGTTGACAGAGATTAACATATTACTCAATGGGTTATTACTATTTCAAAAATGATTTTATACATGACTTTTCGTCACATAAACATACTTAGGCCATACAAAGTAATGGCTATTAAAATATGTTATCTATGTAGTGTTTTGCTTGCGTAGAGTTCAACATCTACTTCAGTGCTAGATATATGAGTTTGAACACACACAAAGATTTCAGGGGTTCATACCACTCTCCCTTGAAAGCGTCTGTACTGAGGTATGAAGTTTTACAAGCGTAGGAGATAAACCAGTAAAAAGTGCTTACAAAGCAGGTGAGTGGATTATTGTCTGATTAGTTAGAGATATTATTACATTCCCTTTACTTATAATCCATACTAAAACCACAGTTTGGAATTCGGAATAGAAGAAAATAACTACACTCTATTTCTGCTAGAAATTTCATAATATTCATTTTTTCCATACTATTACCTCTGCAGTTACCACGACTTTGTGAGTGGCCTTGTGAAAAAGTAGATGTGCAATGGGTAGAATCCGGGCTAGGAGGCTGGCGGTCGGCGCTTGCGCACTTAGGGGGAGTAATGAGGGTGGATTAGAGCTCAGTACTGTGCAACGTGCAAGGGTGGCTGTGACTGTGCACCGTGCAATGCCCTTAGGTCGGTAGTAACCTCCAGAACGGGATCTAGCGGGTCCTGCCATGAGTGACAAACATAGACCTTACACATGGTGAACCACTGGATCGACTATGATTGAACAGTTGAATAAATATACAACACACCTATATCATACCGGTAGACACATGCGAGTGCCAACTCTAGGGTGGGAGTGTGGTGATATGTGAAAGGTGTTAGTGATTGTGACAAACATGAGAAAAGCACGTAGCAGGAGGGTCTGGACTTCCGTCTTTCTGGCTTTGATACTTCTAGTGGCGCAAACAGGTAAAAAGTCTTTGTTTGGAGGTTGTAATCGCATTTGGATGTTAATTGGTAGTTTAAAAGTTGAAGGTGGATTAGCATGGATTTGATAACATGTCAGTGTATATACTATGCAAAACTGCGGTAAAAGTCGGTGGATACAAAGATTGAGTTTTAGAGCAATATTTGATTGAGATTACAGATTGATAATTGTAATTCCATTATGTATGGAGGTATAAACAACAGTATTGTTTTAAACATTTAATAGTCTAATACATGAGTGGGCAATTGATAACAACTATTTTTTCGTTAAAACTAATATTTTTAAAATTTGTGAAAGCCAATGTAAACAAGTTATTAAGTGTTTACTTTATAAAAAACTCGTTGAATATTAATACTAACAAATAGTATTTAGAAATTTAAATAATTGGAGTATAAAAAGACATTCTCAAGGAAGTGAATAGAAAGAATGGATTTTACTTTCGTATTTTATAGTTCAGCTTACTTGAAATAATTCGTTTTAGAGTACACCAATCGGTAAAACGTTCTTATGACATTTACATAAGTTTTACATATTTATACAATAAGTTTTTCAGTACACTCCTTCTATTTAATTGGGAATTTTCCTTGCGTGACTTTCTTCTTGTGGTTAATTCTTGTAAAATAAAGTATTTGCAAACTTATTGTCATCTTTAAATCATCAAACATTAATATAATGCGTTTCAATCTTCTGAAAATGTTCAAACGTATGTACAGAAATGAGGAACTTAAATAAAACGAAATACACACGGAAAAAGCTTGTTTTACTATTTTAACAAAGCATAAATACTATTATAAACATAATTATGAAAATAATGGACTATAATAATAATAGTGCCTATTTTAATATTTAACATATGCAAAGTTATCTTGTTTATTTATGTAGAAGACGATCGTACCAGTTTGTAAAAAATAACATAAGCAAAATTACATTAATAGCCTTTATTTAATATTTTAGTCCTAGAAAGCCATTTATTCATTAGTTAAACTAAATCCAATGGCTAATTAGCGAGAAACTAAATCATGTTTATGCTAAATCCCTTGTACTCGTAAAATACATATATTTGTTTATTTATTTTTTACTTATGAAGCTTGTTGTTAAACTATTCCCTTATTGTTTACTTGTGTGTTTAATTGATTGGAGCTGAAACCAAAAGCGTACTCGGAGCAAATTTTAACTGAACAGTTTGAGATTGGGATGTTTTTGAAGCCTAGAAAAGTAAAAGAACTTGTTTGTGACAACTCTTACCACAATCATAGATCATATAACTTAAAAGATTCATTCAATCATTTACATACCTTTATGACAGTATACCAAATGGATGTACCAAACAAATAGTTTTGGTTTGTTATTTTGAAAGTGTATAGCACTATTCCAGTATTTTAAATACTAGCTCCATCGCAAATCTCTGAAATCAAGTTTTTCCGTTTAGAATGGTTTTCTCGTCAAGGGAATGAGTTCGGTTGCTCAGAGTTTCTAGTTATTGCCTGCCGATATAAGGGGTTTGAACCCAGTGGCTTTTTGATGATTCGAATCATGTCCATGTCTCCTTAATAGGTTGACGTTTTTCACAAATTGTTTCAACGAATTCACCCGACTAAGCTATTAACGTAGGTCTGGTAAGACATAAACCGGGGACTGATTTACTTGTTACTTTGACGTTCCCAGAGGACAAAACTACAATTAGTTTAAATACGTCTATTCGAATGGATTCACGAACCAGTACAATCGAACTACAGGAACTTGTAGTATAGTACTATTAATAGTATATGTTATATTAGTACAATAGAACTGTACTGAAGCTTATGTGGTTTTATGGGTTCAACTGGTTCAATTTCTTATTCGAAAAAAATAAACTTTGAAATATTTTAATAATTTACAAAATTGTGGTCTTTGGTGACGACCATATCAAAATCGTCGAATTACTTCGATTACTGTCACACGTTTCGGAAAGGATTTTAAAGTGCCATTCTAAGGGCGACTTGGCTCCGCATAGTTGACAAAGACGATTCTACAATAATTACCGTGGAAGCCTATAACAAATATTTAAATTATATTCCTTTTTTGCAATTTTTTTGAGCTTGAAAACAAATAATGTCAAATGAGATGTTGTTCAACGCCTAATGTTTACAGATAAAATAAAAAATAAAATGTAAATCCTTTTGCTATTTTATGGACAAAAAGGATTCTGTTGTAACTAGCTCATTTTTGGTGATATTACGATAGAATTTGGCAATTTTTTAAAATTCAACCTCGTCTTTAAATATTTAAAAATGTAATACTACAGTATTTTCATACCCTGTAGCATAAAACCTATAGAAACGACGGGTCATTAAACTTAATGTTATTTAATTTGGGAATAATTGTGACATTTTTAAAAACATATTTTAGGGAAAGGGCAAAGGGCAAGGGATTTCTGGTCAAAGGGAAATACGCTTGGTTAGTAGGCTCGCTGGGACATAGGTATTCCCGATTTAAAAACAGCTGTTCTTGGGCAACAACAAAGCTATATATTACTCCTCACTACGCTGTTATACGCTCTACATTCAGCGCACCTAACGTAGCTGTTCCAAAACTAATACCATAATAATATATAGCAATGATAATACTAATGGTGTTCGAGACTTGATAAGCGTGTTTTGCTTACGAACAATAACTATGCGTAGATAATTACTAAATGTTAGATTTTCAAACATTCTAAAAACTAAAAAACAGCATATAGTTTAAAATCGATAGTAGTGTGCCAAGGTGAAGTGAATAAACACTATTCCTAAACCAGAAAAGTAATTTTATTGGTAGTGATTTAGCAAAATCAAAATGTGTAAATTTGCTGCCACCGAAGACAAAAAAATAAGCGTATGGTGTTATTTATATATCACTACTCTATTAATCATAAATTTATTATAAAGTAAAAAGTACGAAGACCCTCTTCGTTGGGTGGGCAGTAAACACATCTTTAATAAGTTTCAGCGAGGAGGAGACGACGCCAAATGGAATCCAACAGTGTTTATCACAGCTTTAGGTTTTCATCCGAGCGGATTATATAAATCAATTTTGTGGTCTATAAATTTCCAGAGTTTTCCACTAAAACGTTTCATCGTTTCAACTTAGCCCATAAAACTGCAACTGTGACACTCTGACGCCCCCCGCCCGGCAAATATCACTTTGGTGACGTCGAGTCCAAAATTAAATTACAACCTGGCAGTTGTGGTGGTTCTATTGTCAAAAGGGAAAAAGGGTCGGAGTCGAAAATTGGAAGTGTTTTAATTTGGCTCATCAATGTAAAATTACTTCGGAAGAAACTAGATGAATATTACATGTAATTGCAATACATTTTAAGTTGAAAAGTGTTAGGAATCCCTCTAAAACGGAAAGGAAACGTGTCCCAAACGAATATATGTAAACTATAGTGTTGTGTAAACTATATATGTAAACTATATGCATACCTTTTATATGGTAAAATAGTAGGTGGAAGGCGTAAAAGTATAAGCAAAAAGGAAAGATTACATTTCGTATGAATTAGATTAACCTAGAATTAAAACTGATATGCATTACATTATTCAAAGTAGAAAGAACATTTGTTTTCTATTTCACCAAAGTATATCAATTTTTTAATGTTCCTATATTTCACCTAATTTAAACAAATTAATTTAAAATGAATTTAAATATTAAAATAGATCAAGCACAAACATTTTCGTCTGTATCAGCAAATTCAGAACTTGTAAATTTCGTGATAGGTAAGAGTATTCTTAATAAAAAGGAAATGCGTAAATTAAATGTTCTTAAAACTATGTATAACTTAAAACACCACTATGGTTTAGAGTAAAATTAATGTATCAGCAACGGACCAGTGTATAAACACATCCAAACAATCTTTTTTATGATAGAAACAGTTCTAAAACATTTATTGATACAGCATGACAGGTAAGATATATTTTAGATACCATTCACATAAAATTCTATATCAATTTTCACATCATACATAATTTTTAATTTAGATTAAAACACGAAATACCATAATCTCTGGTTGCAAACTAATTTTACAAATTGTTCTTCAATGCCAGGATACGTGTTCGACGAAACAGCAACTCCGGTTGGAGGGTAAATTTTTAATTGGGCTCCAGTGATTGGCTGGTATATCCTACTCGAGTGCTCTCCACCCTCATCGGATAACCGGGTATTGTTCAATAGTTACCTGGGAAATATAACTTTGATGAAGTTGTGATCAGAATTAAAAAAAAAAACTCCCCTACTAATTATTGTTTGCTACCACCTGTATTTTTGACACTACCAATTTAATTTTACAGAATAAGTTAGCAATATCCTTAACTAAAATGTAATAAACGGTATCAGCACATACTTTCTCCCATAAGATTGTCAATACCCTTAATCATGGGTAAGCGGTGGGAGTAACTATGATATTTTATAGGGAAAATCATAAAAGTTGCAACAACTTTGAACCGTAATTTTACCTGCAACTGTGGTTTCACTATTTTGTTTAGAACTATAAGGAGCATAACACATTAACTTGAATCAAACCCGGCTTTTCCCTAAAATCAGATTTGTTGTTATTTTATGGGGGTTTTCATAGGAAAATAACATAAGTTACAATATCAGTTGAACCGTAATTTTTACGGACATAGGAATTGTACCATTTAGTTTGAAATTTAAAGAGACTATAACATACTAAACTTTTATCAAAATCGTTTTGACCATTTTTGAGAAAATAATATTTTTCCGTTATTTTGTGGCTTTCTTAAGAAGATCACCATTAAAAATAAAATAAAAAATAAAAAAACGCCCGGAGATACCATGGGTTACTACCTATATACCGAATTTCATCAAAATCGGACTATAGGTGTATAGCTCTGAACACAACCACACACACAGACATCACATTGGAAACAACTTTTGGGACCCAGGGGGACCAAAAGCGAATATTACACGGATAAAAACACAAATTTTATAAAAACGTGCCCTGAGT